CCATACAAAAAGTCATCAGTGGAAGCTGTAGTTCTGTAAAAAGCACGACCAATCATCTGAGCCGGCTAAAGTAACTGGATGGCCTACCTGCCTGTCAGCCTTCCATCTGGGCACAAACTTACCTCGTGCCCTCATTGGTCATGTGCGCGTTCGTGTGTTGGAGGAGGAGCTCTGTGAGGAAGTGGCAGATTTTTTCCGGTTGTGTATTTTCAAATTCTAGCGCACTCGAGCTGGTTTCTCCAAAATTACCTTCCCCACCTTTAACTGAGTTCACTTTAAATGGAAGATCCCCATAGGCCCCGCCCACTCCATCGGATCGGTCGATACTTATTCCGGCGATCGGAGCATCCCTAATAATTATTCATCTCTTTTTTGTTCGTTTTTTAATGTGATATTACAACTGTGTTTGTCATTATGAATGTTTTCCTACTATGACTGATGTCTTGTTCTGTATTGGGAGTGAGGGAGCCGGTGAAAAAAGTGAACTAAATGCACACTCCTGTACCCTGTTTTTGGCACTCTATGTATTTCAAAGTTGCTATGTTGAATAAATGGAAAATAGATTAAAGATACCCACGAGCGACTCGGCTGAATTTGGATATGAAGTTACCTGTGGGTTGATGTTTCCGAGGTACAGGTTAGTCGTGGACGGGTCTCCGACATCATGTGATCCCGGCGCACAATCATCCAGAACTGCAGAAACAGAAAAGAAAGGATTTCCTTCTGCCGTCTGAGAGGACAGGATAAATATTTCTACGCAAGATGAAGATTCACGGCCACTATATCAAGTCAAAATTACCACTTGACGGACGGTTTCTTCTTGAAGAACCATCCGCTAAAACAGAAGCAGAAACGCAGTTTAAATTTTGTTTCAGGGCAAAAGGTGGATATAGGGTGGTGGTGGTGGGTGGGGCTAGGGGTGGTCAGATGGAGTAAGGCGTGCAGGACAGCGCGATCTCAGTAAGCGAAAGGAAATGATCCAGGCAGCTTTAAAAGCTATTTACCAGAAGCACGTCCACCTTCAGCGCCTGCGAGAGGTTCGAAGCGACTGACGCGTCCTTTCAACTTGTGTCTTTCATCCCGTTCCTCCTGGATTCTGCGGGAAACAACAGGAAGTACAATTACATACAAGCCATGTTCAAGTCTTTACAAAGTTAATACCATGGTTGTATAATAAGAACTGGATACAGCGTGGGAGGCGGGGCTTCGTTAATTTCTATGAGAGTTGCTCAGTGGCGCATGAAGACAAAATGGCCCAGCTTTTGAGTGAGCGAAACGTCACGAAAGTATTCATATAATCCGTTCTTATTGTGCATCCATGGGTAAAGGTAAAACTCATGTAGTACTGAACACGTCACATGAACGTGCCGGGCGGAGCGGTCCCGTGGGTTGGATGCGCGTTCATAATGCCGACTCTCAGAATTATTAGCATTTTAATAAGGGCTATACAAGTGTTCATACTGGGTAGTTTATTTAGTTTAAAAAAAATTATACAACGATTTACAGACGTCTCTTTCCCAATGTAAGTCAATGGGGAGAAGTGTTTCCGGGCCCAGCGACTGATACGGAAGTGTAGTACCGCCGTTTGGCCACAACGAATATTTTCCTCAGAGTCCGGCGCACTTCCTGGGGGCTTTGTTAATACTTAGGGAACCACAGCACAAGCCTAAACAATATGTTAAATTATGCTGAATAACATATCTAACTTACTGCTTGAGTTCTTCTTTAAAGAGCTCCAAGTTGCTTTTCTTCTTCTCCTTTTCAGCCGCCTTCTTCAGAGCCTAGAGGAAAATAATAATCAGCACAGTCAGAAAGCAGAGCAGTATCAGGAGACTCCACTTGTTGACGGTGACAGTACTTACTTGTCTTTTGTCTACTGGTATAAACTGAGCTGGTGTGTCCAAAGGCAAGAAGCTTTTTGTCGGTTGGTTCTCAAAACGAGACTTGGGCTTGTAGAGTCTTCCTTTCTTCTCATCAGCAGCTGCCTCCTCTGAAAGGTGAACAAATGTGTTATTCATCCACAACAACAATAATAGAACTGGAGGGATGAACCCCTCTTTAATGGCCACACATGCAGAGCACACACAGTGACGTGTTCTCTGCTTTTAACCCATCCTAGCACCAGGAGTCTAGTACTAGGAGCAGTGGGCAGCTATTGTACAGCGCCCGGGGAGCAAGGGGGGTGTCCGGTGCCTTGTTCAAGGGCACCACGGCAGGGCAGGAGGTGAACTGGGACCTCTCCAAGTAGCAGTCCACACTCCATATTTAGGTCTGTTCGGGGACTTGAACCGGCGACCCTACGGCTCCCAGTTCAAGCCCCTACTGACTGAGCCACTGCCGGATAACATCATAATTTCACACGTCATGGATGGAGGATGCTATGAACTGTGCTTGAGCTCAGATTATGATATGGATTTGGGAATAATAAGATAAGATTGGACTTTATTTATACCGAAGGAAATTGTTGTACCAGAGTTACAAAAACACAATAAACACAGCAGCATAATAACAAAACTGTACACTAACAGTGCAGTAAAAAGAGCAATTACAAGAAACATACGGGCACATAGTTAGTGTTGTGCTCCCTCTCTCTGTTTCTTATATCTAATAGAACTGCTCGGGTCTTGATAGATTGAGTGGAAGTTCATGAGATCTTTCTAGAGTTATCAAGAATAACTTTTATCCAATGACCTTCTCCCTCTCTGTCTGTGTCTGTGTATTCTCTTGTTCCGATTAACCCAGCCAAATCTTTGTTCTTGTTTTGTGTCTATATCTACGCCGGGATCCGGAGTCGAGGCTGATCCTCTTGCTGTAGTCCTGTGTCCTGGATCCTCTATCCTGAGTTCTGGATTAAGTCGTGGACTTCGGGTCGTGGCTGAACCTGTCTCTGTGGTCCTGCCTTGGGTCTCGTCATGCTGCTTCCCTGATGGCTTCCACAGGATTGTAGCTGACATCCTCGTGGATTCATCTTCTTATTACAGACACATGCATTTCCTAACATTCGGTCTATTTGCTGTCAAATGTATTATCTCTTCGATTTACACACGGCATCTATTGCACGTCTGTCCGTCCTGGGAGAGGGATCCCTCCTCTGTTGCTCTCCCTGAGGTTTCTCCCATGTTCCCTTTAAACTGTGGGTTTTCTCTGGAAGTGTTTCCTTGTACGATGTGAGGGTCTAAGGACAGAGGGTCTAAGGACAGAGGGTCTAAGGACAGAGGGTCTAAGGACAGAGGGTGTCGTTTTTCTCATACTGATATTCGGAACAATCTGTGTTGTATTTGCTGTAAAGTGTCTCTACTGTAGGCTATTTTTATTATATATACAGCACTTTGGCTCCACCAAAAATCGTTTATAAATGTGCTATAAATAAAACTTGATTTGATTTGATTAGTGTACAATGACGAGCAGTATTTAGTAGTGCAAAAGAAACGTAGATAATGGAAAGGGTTTTACCTTTTGTTGCATTTGCAATCCCGCCACGCACAAAGGCCTTGACTTTGCCGTCTCCTCCTCCTTCAAACGCAGCGAGGAACTCCTCATAGATTTCTGCTGCCGCTCGCTCGTCCTCCTGAACACACAACCAAGTGTCAAAGTAAATCAATAGAATGACATCTTAATACACTGTGACCCAGCTACAACAGATCCAACAGAAACAGACACTTACCTTCTTCTTTATTTCATCTTGCTCCTTCTTGCTCAGGGTCCGCTTTGCCACTGCCATTTTGCCGATGCTAAAAGACTTCAGTTTGCTCTCCAGCAGCGCCTGTCGATGTAAACAAAGCATGGGTGGGTTTAAACAAGGATTCATAGTCACGCAATAAAACTCTAATGAGGCTGCATGTGATATTCAAACCGATCTCTACTGACTTTAGTAGTAATGTTATTATTAAGATGATCAGAGGTGGAAGAAGTACTCAGATCGTGAACTTGAGTAAAGTAGAAGTACTCAGATCGTGAACTTGAGTAAAAGTATAAGTACTCAGATCGTGAACTTGAGTAAAGTAGAAGTACTCAGATCGTGAACTTGAGTAAAAGTAGAAGTACTCAGATCGTGAACTTGAGTAAAGTAGAAGTACTCAGATCGTGAACTTGAGTAAAAGTAGAAGTACTCAGATCGTGAACTTGAGTAAAAGTAGAAGTACTCAGATCGTGAACTTGAGTAAAAGTAGAAGTACTCAGATCGTGTACTTGAGTAAAAGTAGAAGTACTCAGATCGTGAACTTGAGTAAAAGTAGAAGTACTCAGATCGTGAACTTGAGTAAAGTAGAAGTACTCAGATCTTGTTCTTGAGTAAAACTAGAAGTACTCAGATCTTGTAGTAAAAGTAGAAGTACTCAGATCGTGAACTTGAGTCAAAGTAGAAGTACTCAGATCTTGTTCTTGAGTAAAAGTAGAAGTACTCAGATCTTGTAGTAAAAGTAGAAGTATTCAGATCTTGTTCTTGAGTCAAAGTAGAAGTACTCAGATCTTGTACTTGAGTAAAAGTAGAAGTACTCAGGTCTTGTACTTGAGTAAAAGTAGAAGTACTCAGGTCTTGTACTTGAGTAAAAGTAGAAGTACTCAGGTCTTGTACTTGAGTAAAAGTAGAAGTACTCAGATCTTGTACTTGAGTAAAAGTACTCAGATCTTGTACTTGAGTAAAAGTACTCAGATCTTGTACTTGAGTAAAAGTAGAAGTACTCAGATATTGTACTTGAGTAAAAGTACTCAGATATTGTACTTGAGTAAAAGTACTCAGATCTTATACTTGAGTAAAAGTACTCAGATCTTGTACTTGAGTAAAAGTACTCAGATCTTGTACTTGAGTAAAAGTAGAAGTACTCAGATCTTGTACTTGAGTAAAAGTAGAAGTACTCAGATCTTGTACTTGAGTAAAACTAGAAGTACTCAGATCGTGAACTTGAGTAAAAGTAGAAGTACTCAGATCGTGAACTTGAGTAAAAGTAGAAGTATTCAGATCTTGTTCTTGAGTAAAAGTAGAAGTACTCAGATCTTGTAGTAAAAGTACTCAGATCTTGTACTTGAGTAAAAGTAGAAGTACTCAGGTCTTGTACTTGAGTAAAAGTAGAAGTACTCAGATCTTGTACTTGAGTAAAAGTAAAAGTACTCAGATCTTGTACTTGAGTAAAAGTAGAAGTACTCAGATCTTGTACTTGAGTAAAACTAGAAGTACTCAGATCGTGAACTTGAGTAAAAGTAGAAGTACTCAGATCGTGAACTTGAGTAAAAGTAGAAGTATTCAGATCTTGTTCTTGAGTAAAAGTAGAAGTACTCAGATCTTGTAGTAAAAGTAGAAGTACTCAGATCTTGTACTTGAGTAAAAGTAGAAGTACTCAGGTCTTGTACTTGAGTAAAAGTAGAAGTACTCAGATCTTGTACTTGAGTAAAAGTACTCAGATCTTGTACTTGAGTAAAAGTACTCAGATCTTGTACTTGAGTAAAAGTACTCAGATCTTGTACTTGAGTAAAAGTAGAAGTACTCAGATATTGTACTTGAGTAAAAGTACTCAGATATTGTACTTGAGTAAAAGTACTCAGATCTTGTACTTGAGTAAAAGTAGAAGTACTCAGATCTTGTAGTAAAAGTAGAAGTACTCAGATCTTGTACTTGAGTAAAAGTAGAAGTACTCAGATCTTGTACTTGAGTAAAAGTAGAAGTACTCAGATCTTGTACTTGAGTAAAAGTAGAAGTACTCAGTTCTTGTACTTGAGTAAAAGTAGAAGTACTCAGATCTTGTACTTGAGTAAAAGTAGAAGTACTCAGATCTTGTTCTTGAGTAAAAGTAGAAGTACTCAGATCTTGTACTTGAGTAAAAGTAGAAGTACTCAGATCTTGTGCTTGAGTAAAAGTAGAAGTACTCAGATCTTGTTCTTGAGTAAAAGTAGAAGTACTCAGATCTTGTACTTGAGTAAAGTAGAAGTACTCAGATCTGTACTTGAGTAAAGTAGAAGTACTCAGATCTTGTTCTTGAGTAAAAGTAGAAGTACTCAGATCTTGTACTTGAGTAAAAGTAGAAGTACTCAGATCTTGTGCTTGAGTAAAAGTAGAAGTACTCAGATATTGTACTTGAGTAAAAGTAGAAGTACTCAGATATTGTACTTGAGTAAAAGTAGAAGTACTCAGATATTGTACTTGAGTAAAAGTAGAAGTACTCAGATCTTGTACTTGAGTAAAAGTAGAAGTACTCAGATCTTGTACTTGAGTAAAAATAGAAGTACTCAGATCTTGTACTTGAGTAAAAGTAGAAGTACTCAGATATTGTACTTGAGTAAAAGTAGAAATACTCAGATATTGTACTTGAGTAAAAGTAGAAGTACTCAGATATTGTACTTGAGTAAAAGTAGAAGTACTCAGATCTTGTACTTGAGTAAAAGTAGAAGTACCAGAGTGTAGGAATACTCTGTTACAGTAAAAGTCCTGCATTCAAAATGTTCCTCAAGTGAAAGTAGAAAAGTATTCTCATCTAAATATAGTGAAAGACAGTAAAAGTAGTCGTTGTGCAGATTGGTCCATTCCAGAATAATATATATGATATGTTTTATAATGATTGATCATGAAAGTGTTCTCAAAGCTGGTAATGGTGCAGCTAGTTTGAAGTACTTTGTATACTGCAGGGTAGCTGGTGGATTTACTCCAGGTGGAACTAAAGTCTGATTCAACACTTGATTACATTTCACATCTAAGTAACTAAATGTACAAAATAGCAACAAATGTAAATACTCAAGTAAAGTACAAGTCCCTCAAAGTTGTACTTAAGTGCAGTATTTGAGTAAATATACTTAGTTACTTCACACCACTGTAGATCACTGCTGCTTTAGGTAGTAGTGTTATTATTTAGATGATTACAAAAGCCTGATGCTCATCATGTTGACAGGTAAGAGCCATTAACATGCAACTCTCATTACACTGTAAAGTGGGCTGTGTCCACTAGTAGTGAGAGGTCATTGCATACACATTCAATCGTCATTCTGCATGTTGCATTCCCTGAACAGTTTGTACTAATTTGCAGCCAGACATCAGGAGGTAGCTCCAATGAAACAATATTAGCCAAAGGCCTTACAAGCTACTCTGTATTACTCTATATTAAGCTACCTATGGCTCTTTACTTGCTGTAACGGTGTACATTTCCCCTCGAATAAAGTGATTCTGATTACTCTACAGGTTGCATGTAGTAAATAGTTAGTACTAATCAGGAGTTAGCTACAATAAAAACAACATTATGGCCTTAAAAAAAGCTGCTATCAGATGCAGCGCCAACTGACTGTTACAAGGAGATAGCTTTCATATGTAGGCCCGATGTCCAAAAACATAACATTCAAGGTATTATTTATAAATGCATACATATATCAAACACATGTTGTTATGGTGATTAGCTGTGTGAGTATCAGCTGGTAAACTATAGGCACAATATTGGGTCAACTAGTTCTACTAGCTAAAATCACTTAGCCTAGCGTTAGCTTAATAGCCAGTGTGGTCAAATGTTAGCTTTAGCTTTAGCATAAAACAACGTTGCATACACGTAAAACTCTAAGTATAACATGTAGGATACAACTATGTAATTGTTAATAAGGCGTTATTTGCATTGTTTTCACCACAAGAGATGAGACTTAGCTATTGTTAGTAATAGTGTAAATTCACCTTAGCGCTGGCTTTCTGAGAGCCGCCAGGCGTCCGGTCCGCCATCTCTCTGGTTCTTTTAAGAAAAAAAGTCGATCATCGATTAAAAGATAGACGCACGCGTGAACAGCCAGGGGTTACAGTCGATCACCGAACCAGTGACGGTCAATTTATTTTTACGTTATTCTGCCACTGTTGTCTTTTATAATTACATTAAAATGAACAAAAAAAACGCAGATATTTTTGAAAATGTATGTTTTTGAAAGACATAACAAGATATAATGTTAAATGGTCAAACTAAAACTCCCATTTTAATTGTTTATCACACTCAAATGTGTTGCTTCGGATATGCATAACAATAATTTAAACGTGTTGATCATAATATGTTTACTGTCATGTAAACGAATCTATATATGGAAAAATATATTTAATTTGATTTAAAGTCACTTTCAGTAATATCATAATGTAGCTGCTTAGCATACTTTAGTCCAGCAGGTGGTGCTCTCGCTTTCTATCGCCCTAAGTCTATCTCCATTAGTTTATCTCTATTAACATTAACCGTGCATATTATTGCGAAGACCAACAGCCAGGGATTGATACACCTTTTAGAAGCCTAATATTGTTGAAAAATTGTGTTAAATTAAAAATAAATAAAGAACAGGTCACTTGTTTTAACCACTCACCCCACATAATTACACTGGGCCTGCATGTGTGTGAGATAAGACTGACTTTATTGATGTTTTCATCACAGCAGCATGTCAACAAGGCATTGCACATAATGTGGAAATGAAAAAGAGTTGAAAATAAACAAACATATAGTTGTCAAAATAGTAAAAAAAAGTCAAATGTATACATATTGACAGTGAAAGATCTGAAGACTATAAGTGATATATACAATATGAAGGGCCAACTACAGCTAACAACATGTTAAAGTAGGACATTATTTACATTAAGTGTGCAAGAAATAGCATATTCATTAATTAGATGTAAACTAACACTATATACAGATGGATTTAAGATTCAATATTCATTCAAGATTCAAAGCTTTATTGACATGTGCACAGTAGCTACAGTGTAGATATAGCAATGAAAAACTGAAGTCACAGGCTCCTCCAACAGTGCAACATGAATATATGACATAGAACAAATAAAACCAATGAAATAGTGATAGATAGATAGATAGATAGATAGATAGATAGATAGATAGATAGATAGATAGATAGATAGATAGATAGATAGATAGATAGATAGATAGATAGATAGATAGATAGATAGATAGATAGATAGATAGATAGATAGATAGATAGATAGATAGATAGATATAGAGAGAGATAGATAGATATAGAGAGAGATGGATGGATGGATGGATAGAGAGAGAGAGATAGATATATATATAGATATGTGGAAATACACATTTGACACAAAGTGTAATGGATGTTTTGCTCATTGCAGGTCTGAGGTATGACATTTTGGATAGTCATCAAGTCTCAATATGTATTATATGGTGCATATTAATTGGATTGCCATTCACTTAGTGCAGTCAAGTTTATTCATGCCACCCCTTCGAGGTTTTTCAGCCCGCCATAAGAAACTAATGCAGGACCTCTCACCCTCCCCAACCTCTTTAATGTTGTTTTTTTAGTAAAAGCAGCAGACTGAGCTCCGTCCCTCCTCTCCTGCAGAACAGACTCTATATTCATGCTCTCCGGGCTGCAGTTACTGGAAGTCCCTGCAGGAACTCAGTCCGCTCCACACAATACCATTCATGCCACGGGGCGAGAAGAGAGCCGGGGTCTCAACGATGTGGAGAACATGCAGTGTTTTCACCCTGTGGAGTCTGATGTTCTTCACACACATCTGTGCGCAGTCTCAGCGGAGGTACGACTTCATCTAGCTTTTCATTTGACAGCTTTATTGGGATATTTACAGGGATTTTCTGCAGTCCGGAGAGCATCCAGTCAGGACTTATGGCGCATTGAATATGTTAAACCAACCGCAACCTTTCATACGTGTTTATTTATGTGACATATTTTGAAAAAGCAAATCTTCCCCCCCTCTTTAGACCAATCTTCACATGCGGAGGAAACATCACAGGAGAATCTGGAGTAATCGGCAGCCAGGGATACCCAGGAGTTTACCCTCCAAACACCAAGTGTGTGTGGAGGATCGAAGTGAGTCTATTTCATAATCAGTAATGTGAGGTAACAGAGTACATTTACTTAAGTACAATTTTGAGGTACTTGAGTATTTCCGTTTTATGCTACTTTGTACTTCTACTGCGTCACAATTCAGAGGTTAATATTGTACTTTGACTCCACTACATGTATCTAACGCCTTTAGTTTGTTTTGCAGAATAATAAACAATATAACCAAGTGTTGAATCAGACTTTAGTTCCACCTGGAGTAAATCCACCAGCTACCCTGCAGTATACAAAGTCCTTCAAACTAGCTGCACCTTTACCAGCTTTGAGAACACTTTCATGATCAATCATTATAAAACATATCATATATATTATTCTGAAATGGACCAATCTGCACAACGACTACTTTTACTGTCTTTCACTATATTTAGATGAGAATACTTTTCTACTTTTACTTGAGGAGCATTTTGAATGCAGGACTTTTACTGTACAGAGTATTCCTACACTCTGGTACTTCTACTATTACTCAAGTACAAGATCTGAGTACTACTTTCACTCAAGTACAAGATCTGAGTACTTCTACTTTTACTCAAGAACAAGATCTGAGTACTTCTACTTTAACTCAAGATCTGAGTAATTCTACTTTAACTCAAGATCTGAGTAATTCTACTTTACTCAAGTACAAGATCTGAGTACTTCTACTTTTACTCAAGATCTGAGTACTTCTACTTTTACTCAAGAACAAGATCTGAGTACTTCTACTTTAACTCAAGATCTGAGTACTTCTACTTTAACTCAAGATCTGAGTAATTCTACTTTACTCAAGTACAAGATCTGAGTACTTCTACTTTTACTCAAGATCTGAGTACTTCTACTTTTACTCAAGTACAAGATCTGGGTACTTCTACTTTACTCAAGTACAAGATCTGAGTACTTCTACTTTTACTCAAGTACAAGATCTGAGTACTTCTACTTTTACTCAAGTACAAGATCTGGGTACTTCTACTTTACTCAAGTACAAGATCTGAGCACTTCTACTTTTACTCAAGTACAAGATCTGAGTACTTCTACTTTTACTCAAGAACAAGATCTGAATACTTCTACTTTTACTCAAGACCTGAGTACTTCTACTTTACTCAAGTACAAGACCTGAGCACTTCTACTTTTACTCAAGTACAATATCTGAGTACTTCTACTTTTACTCAAGTACAACACTTCCTATTTTTAAATCCCGACTAAAAACGCACCTATTTGCCGCTGCTTTTAATTGAGCTGTCCATACTCACACTACAGTATGCCTTTTTAGTCATGTATTCTGTACCTGCTGTGTTTATTTATTTAATTTATTTCATTACCTTTGCTTATTATGCCTGTTTTTAAATGCCTTTTTAATAATGTATTTATGCTGTATTTGTTCTTAAATGTCTTTTGCTTTTAATCTGTAAAGCACTTTGAATCGCCACGTGCTGAAAAGTGCTATATAAATAAAAGTGCCTTGCCTTGCCTTACAATATCTGAGTACTTCTACTTTTACTCAAGTACAAGATCTGAGTACTTCTACTTTTACTCAAGATCTGAGTACTTCTACTTTTACTCAAGATCTGAGTTCTTCTACTTTTACTCAAGATCTGAGTTCTTCTACTTTTACTCAAGATCTGAGTACTTCTACTTTTACTCAAGTACAAGATCTGGGTACTTCTACTTTAACTCAAGTACAAGATCTGAGTACTTCTACTTTTACTCAAGATCTGAGTACTTCTACTTTACTCAAGTACAAGATCTGAGTACTTCTACTTTTACTCAAGATCTGAGTACTTCCACTTTTACTCAAGATCTGAGTACTTCTACTTTTACTCAAGATCTGAGTACTTCTACTTTTACTCAAGTACAAGATCTGGGTACTTCTACTTTAACTCAAGTACAAGATCTGAGTACTTCTACTTTTACTCAAGATCTGAGTACTTCTACTTTACTCAAGTACAATATCTGAGTACTTCTACTTTTACTCAAGTACAAGATCTGAGTACTTCTACTTTTACTCAAGTACAAGATCTGAGTACTTCTACTTTTACTCAAGATCTGAGTACTTCTACTTTACTCAAGTACAATATCTGAGTACTTCTACTTTTACTCAAGTACAATATCTGAGTACTTCTACTTTTACTCAAGTACTTATTCCACCCTATATGTTATGCTTTTCCTACCATAGCCTATAATAATGATGACAACGCAGATTGCTACCTTATTAAATAAACCTTGTCAAACTCCCAATGTACTTCTTACACCACAGCCAAGTTAAGGCAGTCTGTTCTCTATTACATTACTTTACATTTAAACAGTCTTACTGACAGTGTGGATCAAGTTGCATTTCATTCAAGATTCAAAGCTTTATTGTCATGTGCACAGTAGCTATAGTGTAGATATGGGAAATGCAAAACTTCAGGCACAATTCAACAGGACATACAACATATATATATGTTGCCTTATAAGTCCGGCTTAGTGTCTGTAATCACACTTCATCAAAGTCAGCACGCATGAGAGGCGTGCACCTACTCTGACATTTCACTGCTCTCTGTAATAAAGCTAATTAGTGGACTTCCTCCCAGGTGCCTGAGGGGAGGGTGGTGGTCCTGTCCTTTCGCTTCATCGACCTGGAGAGCGACAACCTGTGCCGCTACGACTATGTTGATGTTTACAGCGGCCATGTGCGCGGGCAGAGACTCGGACGCTTCTGTGGGACCTTCAAACCGGGAGCGCTGGTTTCCACTGGCAACAAGATGCTCCTGCAGATGGTCTCGGATGCAAACACAGCTGGGAGTGGCTTCCTGGCTGTCTTCTCTGCTGCCCACCCACATGAGAGAGGTACAAAGGAGAGTTTTTTGCACGCTGAGTCTTATGTGCATGGTTGCAGCTGTGTAAGAGAATATCTTGCAGCCAGCCGAGCGTGTAATGCAGACACACGTGGGTCTCAGCCGACTTCAC